ATCCTGACTCGGGCCGACTTGTGCTAAATTCCGCCTGAGTGGAACCGATTTCGAATACGAGCGAAAGCGCGTGGTGAAGAATCCGAATCTGATCCCGACGCAGTTGAAATCGATTCACTTGATTCAAAATTCAGGTTTTGAAAGGATAGTAGGTAAATACCGGTTAGTACGTAAAACTGAATGCTTACGCAAAAGTCTACATTTGCGTTGATGATATAGGTATGTGCATACATGTGTGTGTGTGTGTGCGAGTGTCTGTGTACGCTCCAGCCCCTCAACTGGTTTCAACGTCCTGTAACGAACTGATGGAAGGAACGGATGCATGTAGATTGCAGCAACATCATCGTGTACCTATATGAAGTAGCATTAATATAGGAGGCGGCCATCAATGATGTTACACATTCGCCATTTCCAACGCTCCCTCGCCCCGCAGTCATGTGCTGGTTCCACTGAACGCCCCCCCCCCCCCCCCCTCCCTCTCCTCGTTACACCATGTTAGGCGTCACTTCCCAGAGTTCCTTGTCATTACAGAAAGCCAACGCCATCCGGCTTTAAGGTTTTAATTTGTGTTTAAAGACAACCTTCCTCTCTTGTTTTATTTCCGTTACGCTTCATTAAAGCCCCCCCCCCCTTCCCCTCCATGCGTAAAGTAATTTACGGACGGCGTTTACATGCTGATGTCTAAAAATGAGTGTCTTTTACATCAATATTCAAGATAATTTGAAAAAATGACTATGTTACATTTAATGTTATCACATGCTAGCTACGTAACTCACTTTGTGCAATGCCAAGTCAACCCTGTAAACGCCCTCGTATACTGCATCGCCAACATTATGTAAATCGGGTGTCCCCAAGGAGGAGGTGAATCGATCCTGATTCCTTCGCATCGCCACATATGTATTCAATCATAAGGGTGCAGCCACACCTACTGAGACACTTCGGTTCAGCCCGTTTTTATGTCGCTGAATGTATGAGCACCGACAAAGTCGACGAAAAGTCATTGGGATTCGAAGGGCTGTCAATTCCAGTGGCGGCTAAACCTGGCTACACCACCGCCATGAAAAGCCCGCTGAGCGCACTGTTACAGGCAATTGGGCAGGTTAAACATGGTACGTACACCAATGCTTAATTGGCGTATCGTCAAACTGGACACTGGATGTGCAGTAAGTTACCGTCATGCAATCATCTGTTGTCTGACCAGTAGAAATAGTGACGGCAAAAAATTATGGAAGTGTCTAACATCATCAGGTGCAGACAGCCACATTAATATCTTCAGACAGTTAACCAGCAGGATAATTACTCGTTAGAAACGGGGACAGGAAAACTTTTACTTTACCTCATTACATGCTTTAAGTTCTTATGCTGACCATAACTGACCTTCCATATAACAGCACGTGCTAGTTAAGCGACGTTATCAAGCAAACACTGGTCAAATTGCCAAAAGTCGACATTTCAAGCCGAGGTCATGGTTACGAGTTAACACACATTAACATACGTTAACACGCGTCTTGTCGTAACACATCATGCCGAAAAATTAGGAGCTCAAGACCTGGTTTGCTTGCCGCAGTTCTCGTCTCCCTTCATTGAAAGCCCTGCTGTGGGTTGATGACAACTTTCTTCGAGACTTGCGACTGCCAATTGACACTCATTGACCTCCGTAAACTATACTGTTATCCAGCCTGCAAACGACAGGGTTCGCACCACATTTCGAAGCAAATGAATGATCGTTCAGCATGGCTGAGCGTCCCATGGGGCTCGCAGACAGAGGTCGCGTCTGTGACCAGCTTGTGACAGCGACAACACTCCGAATGCGGCGGAGACGAGCCAGTCAGCCACCTGGAGCGCAGATATGACTTAACTTCCGCTGGACGACGTGAGGGAGCAGCACGAAGCCAGCGGCGTGTCGTGGTGAAATCAAAGAAAGTAACTGCAGCAGAGTCCGGCTGAGCGGAAAAATAAAGTGAAAGCACGAGTATCGAACTGAAGGAAAAAAACACAACTCTCACGATACTCAAATGTATCTCGACCGCCTCGGTTCGCGGTGAGTTCACACTATTCACACCCATGGCGCGATGCCCTAAAGGATATATAGTTATCTTATATGAATTACAGGTGTAACCTGCTAGTTTCGCGTCTTCTCTTCAGGCGATATTCATAGCTAAAGATCTAAAAACTAGGAGAAAGTGCGTCCTTTTAAGCCAAATAGAATATTGCGCTTGCAGCCCATCTACTCCATCTGGGTCCACAGGTAAGCTAATTTTCGAACTCTCATAGCTACTCGTCTCTTCTCAACATCCCAAGACATCGGTAATGTTAAAGACAAAAAAAAAACAAGAACTGCAAAGATAACCTGGTGTGATGAAACTCTCTCCACCGCTCGAAAGATTTCCTCGTCGATATAAAGGCTCGTTCGCCGGGTTCAGATCACTGCAATGTTTTGAGACAATGTTCTATGCCATAGACCACGTGAGACGCGGAAAGCCAGATCAGATGGCTTGTGTCACTTCCGGCAACCTTGTTAATCTGAAGACCCTCTAATCTTCGGTTTTCCATGATGTAAAATAGTCATATCTTGCTTCATGTACTTGTTTTGAACAGCAATAAATCCACAACTGACAAGATATCAAGCTGGAAGCCATTGCAGCCTATAACTTATCATAGACCGCAGTGGCCTGTTTTGGTCCCTAGCCGCAAACTCAATGTATATAATACAGACAATTTAAAAGGTAACTTAAAAAGCGTAGAAGCGTGACATCTAACGCATTTTTGCAAGTAAAATCAAGCTGCTAATAAACAGCAAAAAGGGATTATAGTCAGCACAAAAGTAAGGTCACTTCTCAAACGCGCACCACAATATCCGCGTCATTCTGCGAGCTTCCGGCTGTTGCGCAACACGTTCCCCCATAGTCCGGCGGTCAGCTTTACCAGCAGCCTGAGTCGCCCCCACGACAGCTGGCAGTCGGTCGGCGCGAGGGCGGCGGCTCCGTCGACGCAACAGCCGTCACCGATCGGGTTCAGAAGCCGCTGGGGCACTGCACGGAATATCATGAGCCATTCAACAAGGCCTTATTGCTCGTCAAGTGCCCATCAATTGCTGGAGCAAAAGCACACGATGCATTAACGGGTCAGTGACGTCACTAAATAAGCGGGCGTGCAGGCGGCATTAGGGCAGACTGCAGGCGGCGGGCGTTTCGGGCGAAGCGTCATCATCTTACGCCGCGGGTTTCTGTTTTCCGTGCACTATCATAAATAGCGCACCAGCTGTCCTGCCAACAGGGCGGGGCTTATTGCTTTACTGATAACGCCGACCGAGACGGGTTCGTGCGGTCATTATGCATTTATGGCATGCAGTTCGGCCATACAGAATCAGGGAATCCTCAGTCCGTAACGCAGTGGGAAAGGAATTATCTCAGCACCGTTAAGGTTGCTGGTTTGAGACTCGCTACCGACTGCATTAATGTTTCGTCGGCTGCTTTTGAGGTAGAGCGGGACGCTCTCCGCGACCTCCACAATGTGCGTGATGGGTCAGTTTTGCTGTCAACGGCATGAGATAGCGACAGCTCCGTCAGTGGAAACCCAGGTCACGTTTCGTTTGGCCGGGCGCAAGCTTTGTTCGGTATTTCAACTGCAGTCATGAGTAATCAAATGCTAATTCGAACGTGATAAAGACGGGGTTCCACAATATTTCATCCAGGGCTCTCAGTAAGTGAAAGCTCCCAGTGTTTACCATCTAAACGCGTGTCCACCAATCGCTTTTGTACACACATGTTCCATTTGTATTGCCGTCTAAACACGGCCAGGGAATACAAACATTTCAGCCAATGCATTTTCAAAAAATGTATTTCCGATTCATTCGGATGTGCACAAAGAGAGGCAATGTTTTAGGGGCATCCAAAAATTTTGTCACGCCTATTTTGGCATTTTCCGCCCTCATATCTCCCTCCCCCCCCCCCCCCCCCCCGGTTATGCACTGGTCACGCTGGGAACCTCACTTCCCGCTGGTTTCGATGTGTTAAGCAGAACGCACCAGACGAGTAATGCCCCTCTGGCACCTAATTGAGCTAGATTTGCGAAGCAAATAACGGGCGCGTTCCTGGTCATGAGAGGAAGCCAGCGGCATCTGTCTGTAACGGTTTGATTTGCTTTAAAATATTTTTGCATTATTTACATCCACGCCTGAGCGTAACTTCACGCCGTCCGAAGCCCTTTCCTCCTTTGTCACGCTTCCGTTGCGCTACACCACCTCTCCCTTCATGTGCAACCTAGTTTTGTGGACGACCCCTCGCATGTTTACATTATTTGGACGAAAAGAGCAGATAAGTACGGATGCGTCAAAAATACCGAAGCGCAAACGAGCCGAAATGCCATGAAACACTGCATCTAAACTCCTGCTACCATTTCTCTCTAGCTTTACTCCTGCGATACGTGGCCACGAAAGTCTCCCTGTTGCGCAGCCCTCCCGTGCTAGGTAGAGCTCTGCACTGTGGCGGAGACCTGCGCGTAGTGCAGCCTGCCACCATACCGTGGCGCTCTCCGTCATACCGTGCCATTCCTCCGCCATGTCGTGACAATCACCCGCCATACCGTCGCACTCTCCGTCGTACCGCGCCACTCCTCCGTTATGTCGTGACAATCACCCGCCATACCGTCGCACCCTCCGTCATACCGCAGCACTCCTCCGCCATACCGTGCCAATCCTTTGCCATGTCGTGACAATCACCCGCCATACCGTCGCACTCTCCGTCATACCGCAGCACTCCTCCGCCATACCGTGCCACTCCTCCGCCATGTCGTGACAATCACCCGCCATGAAGTGACAATCACCCGCCATACCGCGGTACCACTTGGTCATATCGTGGTACTTCTCTGCTATACTATGACACCCCTCCATCATACCGTGGAATTCCTCCGTCATCCTGTGATATTACTCCGCTATACCGTGACACGACCCCATCATAATGCAACACTCCTCATTATACAGTGTTGTTCCCCCGTCATACCATGGCGCTCCTCCGTCATACCGTGGCACTCCTCCGTCATACCGTGGCGCTCCTCCGTCATACCGTGGCACTCTTCCATCATACTGCGTCCTTCCCCCGTCATACCGTGGCACTCCTCCGTCATACCGCGGCACTCCTGCATCACACCGTAGCTCGCCTCCGTCATACCGTAGCACTTCTCCGCCATACCGTGGCACTCCTCCATCACACCGTAGCACTTCTCCGTCGTACCATGACTCTCCTCCGTCATACCGTGGCACTCCTCCGTCATACCGTGGCACTCTTCCATCATACTGTGTCCTTCCCCCGTCATACCGTGGCACTCCTCCGTCATACCGTGGCACTCCATCTCACCGTAGCACTTCTCCATTGTACCATGACGCTCCTCCGTCATACCGGCGCTCCGGGAGCCATCTGAGTGTCGGCCGGCGGCGCGGCGCGGCCTGTCGCCGCCGGAGCCGGCCCGTATATAACACAGATAGGCGCACACCGCGTAATTGGGGTTCAACATCCGCGCAGCGCGGCCCGCTCAGGGCGCCGGCGGTCGGTCCGCCGAACCGGTGTCGAGCAGAGACTGGGCAGCGGCAGCGCGTTGGTCTCATGACTGCCCTTCTCTCTGATTGCTCCCCGGGCAGAGGATGCGGCTGGCCCTCTGCCACACTGTCGGGGAGAACCGGGCGGAGTCGGAGGGGTGGAGCCGCGAGGAGTCCGTTGGGTCTCTGTCTTTACGGCTTCATCGTCTCAGAGCAGCTGGGAACGGCTAAGTTCCTTCACATGCACCATCACATCTCGCCCGACCAGCGGCCGGGCCGTTTGGGCGGGCGTCGCCCACCGACTCATTGCGGGCGGGGTGCACCCAGCCTTCCTGCAGGATCATTAACACTTCGTCGTAACACGTCCACGCGGGATCTGGGCGTGCATGCCGTCACCAGTGCAACGCACCGCGCCGAGGCCATTGGGCCGCGCCGCCGCGGCCAGGCCGAGTCAGCCTCCGCCGCCGGGTAGCGGCAGCCGCGTGCGCGTGCACCACCAGGAGCCATCGGGCATGGTCGCTGCAGGACTGCAGAGGCCGAACGGTACCTGAGCCAGCGCCGCGGCGCCCCGCTGTGACCTGCGACGCAGCGGCGTGGCCCTGCGGCGCCGCTGACCGCGCGCTGCGCCGCCCGCACCGACGCCGGCCCCGGCGCCGGGCTGCACCTCAGCTGCGGAGCCAGAGCTGCCGGGCGAGGGCTGAGGTCACACCTGCAGATGGACGGCCGCGATGGATGGCGGGTAGCCATTGGTCCTTGTCACACCCTCGCGGGCTGGACGAACACAGCAAGAGGCTTGTTGCATTCCGCTCGTGGTTCTGCGGCTTCTCGCCCCCTCGCCGTGGTGCTGGCACGGCGGCGGGAAAGCACGCGGCGGGCGGCGCCGGCTCCAGCTCCCAGCGCGACGTCCCGAATAAGGCCAACTGCATGCAGCACTCGGCAATCTCGCGGCTTTGACTCTCTCCTCGTTGAGAAGTGGAGATGCGATCAGGTCGGCTGAGGCGCGGTGGACAAAAACGAACGGCCGTTCTCCGGTCCCGGCGGTCGTGCGCGCCGCCGCCACCTGGGTGCCAGGTGAAAGGAGCATGGGTGCCGGGCAGCGCAGGGGCTGATTGTTGCCGCCACAGCAGCATTTCGTCTTATGGCCCCCACCACGCACAATATCTGATCGGCTCCGCCTCCAGCCGTAAACTTGTTTGTCGTCTACAGAACTTGCCGTTCTCCCCTGTAAAAACCTGGGTCTCACAAAATTGAAATTGAAATCGCATGTGAAGTTGCATGTGCGTGTGATATTCCTCATAACTTGGTCTTGCACAAAGCTGCGTTACCCTGCTGCTAAGCAGTTTACGCAGTTAGTAACGTTGAACAACTGAACTTCATTGGACCGTTCTACTGTTCAGGCAACTGAGTTAATGCGCTTACGGCGCAATACGAGTGAAACAGCTAAAAATAGTTTTGACGTCTGAGATATCTTCCAATGTATAGAGCAGAATCTATCTGTATATATTGATGCTGGGTCCGTTGTCTGCGATTTTGCTTCGCGTGGTCTACCCTACTACTTTAGGCTGACTGTTTGCACAACGAGCCGTTAGACGTCATATTAAAGCTGAGAAATATCGGATAAACTCGAGGCGCTCCAAACATATGAGACTTCCATGCTGTGTTGTTACATAAACACGGGACGATGCACTGTGGATTGTTACATGTGTCTTCGGGACTTGAAGCGCGGAAGAAGTGATGCAAACAATTCGCTTTGAGCTATGCTGAGTGGGTTATAATTTAGATGGAATCCAACGGGTTCTCATCATTATACTTCGCATGTTGTCCATCAATCAATTACACCATCCATCCACATCACCTGTACTCCGCTCTCCATAATTCTTTGTCTTTCCTACCATCACACCCACTCTCTTTTTCCCGCAGGTGTCTTTCCCCGCCTATCCACATGTCTCTTCCCTCCTCGCGTCCTCCCTCCGCCGCCCTGGAAGCGTCTCAGCCCGTCTTTGCGGGCTGCAGGGGTGCGGCTCGGCAGCGTCCGGTCCAGAGGAGCCGGCGCAGCTCCGCAGCTGGCGTCCCCGCCGGCCGGCGCGGCGGCATTCCGGACGTGTCACGTGATCGACCGAAACAGCTGACTGGGCCAGTGACCGGGTCGCGGCGCCACGGCCCTCTATCAGCCGCTGCCTGCGGCGGCCTCGATCTTCCGCTCGGATTCATTCGCTGCTGTGAGCCGCCGACAGTGCCGGTTGACGCGGGTGTGGCTGGTGCTGGCTCACGCTCACGGCTCGCTTGGGATCAAGAGCCCATGTTAGTGTTGGTCCATCACGTGAGTGTGGCTGGTGTTCCGCATGAGTGTGGTTGATGCCGGCTCACGAGCACGACTGGTGCTGGCCTATGGGCAGGGGCACATTCTCGCAAAATAAATCGAGGAATTGCATGGTGAAAATGGCTGTACCTATTCCAAGGCATCCCAAAAGCATATTTTCTCCCGGATTTGGCATTCTTGCTTCTCAAAATTGGATGAAGGCTGGAACTAGCCCCCCCGCAACTGAAGACCAAAGCATAACCTTGCCCATGAGTGTCAGTAATGATGACTCACGCGTGTGGCTGGTGGTACCCATTGGCCGTAAATGAGCGGTGATGTTAGTCCGTGAATGTGGCTGGTGTTGGCGCGTAACAGTGGCTGGCATTGTCAAAGAATGGGGCTGATGTTGGCTAGTGAGTGACCACCAGTGGGAGCGGCTGGCGCTGGTTCCAGCCGCAGCAATCGTTCCGTATCGGTGAAGGGCTAGATCGACACTGAGAGGCTAAGGACTAAGAGATGCCCTCTAGATGATTCCTGTGGTCATGCATGGGGATGATGTGATTTTCTCCAGCATCTAGTCTTTCGACCTCGGGTTTGCCATTACCATATGCGAGTTAGGCATAATAAGCAGCTTTCAGATAGCTGCGACCATTTTGTATTTATCTCTCTCTCACGGGACGTGCAATGTATGCCCTGGCCCCAAAACAAATGTAAATGACAATAAAAATGGAGATGAGAACATGATTCCACAGCAAAGCATCCAAGGCCGCACTGATGCACATGTTCATCGGAAGACCCGTCATGGTGGGTAATGAACTTCGCTGCACCTAGATCGAGACAGCAGGGCAATACATCATTGTCAACGGTGAATCATTCATGTAATCCACAGGTAGGTCTCCAGCCTCTGTAGAGTGGCGGAGATATATGCAACTTAAAGATATGCGACAATGAATACCGCCATGAACGTCGCGCAAAGTCTATTGTCTAGAGACCACATGTGCCATGCGTCGCACAGTCTATCGGTCGAAGCCCACATGAGGCGTACCGCACGTGAGCCTTGTTTAATGGCTTTCACAGCGGAGTAAGTTTCGGGGCATTTGAAGTATGCGGTTGCAGCAGTGCACTCAAACACAAAACAGCCACTTCATCGCTTTGCGTCCAGATGAGCCCGAACGGAAGCTGATTTGTATTCTTTGTAAGGAAATCATCATGGTTGTTTGCCGTCCTGGTCTCGGCAATCCTAAATATTCGAAGGCTACGGGAGAGGAGAGGGAAAAAGGTGCTCCGCTGCAAGGTGCATTCGTTGCAAATATGACGTGTGCAACATGATTCATTCGGACGCTGTCCCGAGCCCGCTCAGGGCCAGTCTCTGGCCGAAACAGCGGCCACTTAAGCGGGGAGGGGATGGGGGGCGCCCGTGCCGCTCCGTGAGGCAGAGCCGCGCGATAACGCCACTTTTTGCAGCGCCCGTCGTCACCCGACCCCGGCCAGCCTCGCTGGCGCGTGCTGCTGCTCCGGGGGCGCGGCGGCAGGCGCTTCCGACGGCCGGCACCTCGTGCAAACAGACTGCAGAGTGGCGGGCGTGGCTAACACGATTCGGTGATTAGGGCAGCGGGGCGGCGCTAAGCCCGTGTGACGCCGGACCGGGGCAAAAATGTGCGGCATGCCCACACCGCCGCATTATGGGAGAGTATCACGCGAGAGCTAGTGCTCCCCGCCGTGGAGACTCCGGCGGACCGCGCGTCTGCAGGCATATCTCGTCCCGCGACGCATGCTCAGCGATGGTGCGTGACGAGGTTCCTGCAATACATGCGCCATGCCCTCAACTGCAGACGAGCATGCACACATGTACACGTGTAGGTACATGCATGCCGACAAGCGTAAAGAACGTCGTAGAGGAATGCCAGGGGCAAAGCAAAACGCAATCTTCTACCGTCAGGACTCAGTCTGCTAAGGATTATTTTAACACGTGTGCTATCATGCGTTACTTAAGACAGCCAACGCAGAGCAGGAGCGCTTGATGTGCATGTGGCTGCTTTCGTAACACGATTTGACGCCTGAATGTCTCTTTGCGGCCTTGCATTTCTAGGCCGATCACCGACGCAGCGACGCACGCAATTTCTCGCTTGAACTTATGAACTGAGGTCATCCACCACTCAGCACGCATTTGACCGGCTCACACCCACCTCAAAACCTCGTGTCAGGGGTCAACCAGGGCCGCTCCAAATTGTGGGAACAACGGTCGAAACAAGCACACCAGCTGGACAGCCAGTTATCATACCTTAAAAGCCGTGTAACTTGGCGCGAACGGCCCACACCAAGGGCTAGAGAAAAGGATGTGATTGAGGAGATGGGGAGGACGTAAACCCATCCACCCTTCGGAAAGTCTGCGGCAGGCCTCTGTTGTCAACACCGCCATGTAGCGATGGATGGGCGGCGGGCGTCCCGCCAAGGCCTCACGAGCCTGAACTCTGTGCCACCGGCTGGCGTGCTCCGTCGCAGAGCCACTGTCAGGCTCGGCCAATCCGAAGTGGGCAT